AATATCCCCAGTGTCTAGCACGCTGCCTTGCTTAATAAGTGATTATTGAATTCAATTGAATCCTATTATGTGTAGTAGAATCTGTCATTCAATGGAAGTAATGCTTAAGGTTCTGTCTTTTAAGTATTAAGTAATAACTTATGCATATTGTCCAAAGGACAAAGTGATTTTTGGATTGTTTATATGTCAAAATTATTCTATTTGTAACAAGCATCTTTAAAAGTATCATTGAGCAATCCTATTAAAACAGAAAGAAAACTGACTGGGGAGGAGGCAGATATTATAAAGTTGGTCTTTTAGAGATTCCATTCAGGTCATATATAAGTTGAAGAAGTGAAGCATTTCTCACTATTTCGTGAAGAATTTTAAAACATTAATGAGATGTCCATTCATATCTATACTATAATTAAGTTCCAACATTCATTCAACATTTATTGAGTGCTTAACATATTCATGGAACTATGCTAACTGCTGACATTCACTAGAATGTTTAAGCAATTTTTTTTTATCCTCACCTTTGTATTAGGCAATTCCACCTTGATGATATATCTGGTAACCATGTCAGGAGCCTTAATAAGTATTTGGCAAGTGAGCCATATTTCATATTTTATTAATGCTCTCATTTTTTGTCTATACAATCCCATTTATTTCTGATATGTCTAATTTCTTTCAGGATATCCCAATTCCCATGACCAGTATGCACACTAAACTGTTTCTTTTGTGCTGTGTTCAATCAAAGAGAACCTCTACTTTTCCTAAAAGGGCTACAAGGAAAATAAAATGGAAAACACGAAAGAAGCCAGAAAGAATTGTTAGAAAACTGTAACACTGGTTTGATAGAAAATAAAGGAGGGAGGAGAATAACAATCATACAATATTCCTGAGTCTAGAAGGGGGTGGGGAACCTGCGGCCTCGAGGCCACATATGGCCTTCTGGATCCTTGGGTGTGGCCTTTAGACTGAGTCCATGTTTTACAGAACAAATCCTTTTACTAAGGGGATTTGTTCTGTGAAGTTTGGATTCAGCCAAAGGATCACACTTGAGGACATAGAGGGCCACATGCAGCCTTGAGGCTGCAGGTTCCCCATCCCTGGTCTAGAAATATCTTAGAAAAAAATAGAAAGTGAATCTAGGTTGGTAGGTGACTCATCTAAAGCCAAGAGTGGGGGGAAAAATGAAAATAGTTATTCTTGTAATTAAATCATGTCAAGTCAATTTGGTCCTGAAGCTATTTCCTTGACAATAATTTCAGCACAACAATAGGGCTGTGGTTCAAATACTGGCTTTGTTACTTCCTACATTTATGACCTGGACCAAATCACTTAAACTCTCTGTGCTTCAGATTCACATAATCAGAATATTAGAGTTGGAAGAGACATGAGACCATTTAGTACAACTCATAGCTAGACAAACATTCTTTATATAAAATATCCTGGAAGTGGTCATCCAGCTTTTGTTCAAAGATGTCAAGAGAGAAGATCCTACTCCCTGTCCTAGCCTGGACCACTTGGCGTTAGGCGTAATAGGTTAGGAAGATTTTTCCATCAAGATTAAGTCTACTTCTTTGCAACTCACACCCATCACACTCAGTTTTTTGCTCTGAGAACAAGCAGAACAAAGCTAACCCATGGTCCATATGCAAACTTTTCAAATACTTGAAGTCAGTGACCATGATTCACTTGCCTCCTCCAATCTAACCTTTCTGAAGTTCTCCAACCAATACTCCTTTGGTACTATCTCATGTCTCCCTTTACCTCCCTTGTCACTGTCCTTGGTGTTCTCCAACTTATTAATACCCTTCCCAAAATGTGATTCCTTAAACTAAACTCAGGGTTCCAGGCACAGTCTGATGAGAAGAGAGTATAGGAGGATGGATGACCACTTCCCTAGTCCTGAATTTAATACCTCATTTAACATAGCCTGTGTTCACAATAACATTTTCCCTACCATATCACCCAATTGAACCACATTAAGCTTTCAGTTCACTTGAAACCCATGATCTTTTTCAGACTGATGAATGTTATCTATGCTTCCCTCATCTTGTATTTGTAACGTCACAAGTAAGACGTTATACTGATCACTTTTACATTTCATCTGACGGGATTCAGTTCAACATTCTATTCTGTAAAGATTCTTTTGGCGTTCTGACTCTATCATCCAATGAATTAACTGTATCAATTATTACTTAAAATGTTAAATAGCACAGGGGCATGCACCACATAAGTAAAAATCATGGAGTTGAGCTAAGTGATCTCTTAGATCCCTGCTAACTCTAAAAACTACTTTTTTTTTTTTAAAGAAACTTCCTAGCCAAAGGGAAAAATGATCAGATGAACCTCAGAATATCATTTAAGAGATACTATGGTATGAGAAATAATCATATATTAATTCAATCTATACATAAGTATGTCTCTTGGATTCTTTTAGGCAGAGGGAGAAGAATATAAGGATTGGATTATATTGAAAATGACAAAAGGCTTACACTTTCAAATTCAAAATATGGGAGGTCAGCTTGTGCTCAGCAGAGACAAAGACTTAATGGAGTGAGGCACCTGCCTACAGGTCCACATTCAGACAAAGACAGTCTTATGTCACTGAATAATCTGGTATTTTGAGAAATTGAAATATCTCTGTTTTGATGGAGGAAATCAAGTAAGGAGATGACAGGCGAGTGGGGAAAGAGAGAAGGGATTACCATCAAAAGAAAGAGGATACAAGAGACAGAAAACAAATGTGCAGGCTTCACAGTTTTCCTAGTAGTTAATGTTCAGAAGTGTGATAACAGATAGAAACTGAACAAAGAATTGCTTTTGTCATGCAGCTATAGGCAGAAATATCTCTGATTCATATAATTTCAAATTTCATGGCACCCAAGAGATTTGCTAATTGAGGAAATCATTCTTTCTGAATTTGTTTTTTTCTTAGATCTAATGACTTAGAAACTACTAACAATGACCACTCTTTAGAAATATAGTGAGACTTTTATAAGAAGACAAGTTATTAACATGGGTTCTGTTCTGCTTACAACACCTCCTGGTTTTCTGTGTTATCTTCAATAAATCCCAAAATAATCATCTCTATTGCTTCAGAAACAAACATTGTCCCAGAATTGGCTCAGTTTGTATGGATAACCTTCCTACCATGTTAGCACATTTCCTGAATGATAAGAACTTACATTTGAAAAGCAACTAATCTCACTAACACTGAGAGGAACTTTCGCATTAGCAGCTTCTATATTGCATTAATAATAAGAAAACCATAAAGAGACTGACTTCAGCTGTTAAGTCTCCCCTGAGGTGTATGCCCTAACGCACTGTTTTCCCCAAGGTCCACTGTAATCATTTTGCCTGTATTAAGGTAATAGAGTGAATAATAAGATAAGTACTCTGTATTTCAGCAAAGCATAAAGTTCTTTCTTGTCTTTTTCTGCAAAAATAAGTTTATATTAAGATCTCTAAAGTTTACTTTAAATCAACTATAACTACCACAAATGCAAACATTCTTGTACTCTAATTTAACTGGTGATTTTTTCAGGCAAGATATGAAAGATGAAGCATGCACAGAAGAAAGCAAAGGGGGTTGGGATCTGGGAAGGATAGAGAAGAATAAAAAGAAAGGGTAGTAACCTCAGAAAATGAACACCTACCATCGCCTGAGCATAGAGAAAATAAATCAGATGTTCTAAAAAAATAATCTAGTCACTTATCTGCACACCAGGGAATAAAGAAAGAGAGAATGAAGTAGTTTGCTTTAAAAAAAATAGTTTAAAAATCTCTCAGTAGACATTTAAAAGAGGAAGTGATAAGAAAATGCTACATTAAAACAGGATGTGTTGAATTTGGTAGGCTCAGTGTGAATGTGAATACATTTTCTCTTTCTTTGTTAAAAGTGTTATCTATTAGTTTCAATGGAAATTAACATCTCCAATGCATAGTTTCTAAAACAGCCATTTCTATTGAAAATACTTTACTTTTCCCTGGCATAAATTTTTGAAAGACTTTAAAATATATTACTTAGCAAAATGTGATTAAAGGATAGATGAATGGGTAAAATGTCTCTTATAAGGAAAACTTTTAGGATTTTTTATTGGTATCTTTTGTTTTCATATCACCTTTACTTTCAAATATATCTCTTCCCTATCCCCTACTTAAATATCCACAGTACCAGCATAATACCCAATGCATAGTAATATTATATTATAATACTATAATAAATACTTATTGGATTGAATAAGACATGTAATTAATTTCTTAACTGGAACACCCCTCCAACCCAAAAATAATGATTTTGAAAGGTTAGATCAGATTTATAGACAAATCCACTCTAATAAAAACTTTTAAAAACAACTTATTATTTTTCCTTCTGATCACTAAAGAGCATAGTTGATCTACGGTTACTTTAGTTTTTGTTTAAATTCTGTACATATATACTTCTTATGGGAAACCGCTGTAAAGGAGTTGTTGTGGAATGTATTAGCTACCTCATTCTGTAGCACTGACATTTAAGAAATTAAGGTTAATAAATTTCTGCCAACTAATGATTGTTTCCTAGAACTTGTATATATAATACTTTTTACTTATGCTACTTAAGAATAAGAATGTAATTCAGAATCATCCTGAACATTGTACATGAAACAGAAGTAACTTTGAAAGGGAAAAATTAGACAATACCATAAATTTTTTTCTTTAAAGCATGTACCTCGTTTAAGATAGATAAACATTTCAAGTAGATCTTAATTATCTTTGATAATTCAAACATAATACTTTTTTGTTTATAAAGAGTATACAGTTACCATATAGCTTTCTTTAGGTGATGTTAGTGTTCTTACTGCCCTTGAATTTCGAAAAGGTTATCATTGAATCTAGAGACTATCATTCTCTTTCTGAAGAGTAAATTTCAACAACTTCAGTAGAAAAAAAGGCCAACTCACTAAAATAAAAATCATCTTCTTCTACATTGTATATACTTATCTGTATTCTTTCTGGTTTGTATCTTATAGTCAATGAAGGATCAGGAGAAACCAGCCAAAAAGAGACATCCACCTGTGACATTTGTCAGTTTGGTGCCGAGTGTGATGAAGATGCAGAAGATGTTTGGTAATATGTTTGACACTTAAAAATTAATATTATGTGATTGGAAAATGCTGGTGATGAGATTATTTTCTGTCCCTTCAACCACTCACTTTACAGACTTTCAAAATAATTTATTTGGCTCCTTTCCAGGGAGAAAATGAGAATTTTCATATCATAAGTAATTTCCGTCATACCTCAGAACAAGGAAGCCAAATTGCAATACCATTAAAGACTCTATATAAGTAACACAGTAACAAAATTACCTCCTGCCCCACAAAATACATACATATGTGCAAATATATGCATATATGTGTACATACATATGCACAGCCATATAAAAGAGAGCTGGCCTCAGATTCAGGAAGCCCTGGGTTTAAGTCTTGTCTCTGTCACCTACTGGCTATATGACCCTGAGTAAGTCACTTAACTTCTTAGTGTCCTAGACAACTCCTCAGTCCTCAGTTTCCTCATTCAAAAATGAGCTGGAGAAGGAAATAGCAAACTACTCCAGGATCTTTGCCAAGAAAACCCCAAATGGGGTCACAAAGAGTTGGACATGACTGAAAAACAACTGAAATAGTACAGTCTCTGGATTTGAAGTCTTTTAGAACCTAGAAGATGTAAGTCTAGATATGTCAGGAGGGACCTGGATTAAAATCCTGTCTCTTGACACTTGCTAGTGACCAGAAAAAGATACTTAACTTCCCTAAGGCTTAGTTTGTTCATCTGTCTTTGTTCACATGTAAGTAAAGCAGTTGTTATGTTTAAAGTGCTAGCTATATAAATGACAAGCTATTTAAAGGATATTTGGGCATCATTTATACAAACTCTTGCTCTTAAGGCCTTCTCCAATTGCCTTTAATCTACCCTTCCAGCCCTACCTCACACAACTCTACTTACTTTGAACAACCTAAACTGGAATACTCACTGTTCTTGGTTTTGGTTTTGGTTTTTTGTTTGTTTTCCCATCCCAGAGTGTTACTCTTTGCCTGAACTAGAGAATCTTACTTCCCCCAGATATATGTGTGTGTGTGTGTGTGTGTGTGTGTGTGTGTGTGTGTATACACTAGATAAAAATCCTTCTTTCAACACTTACTTCAGGTAGCACCTCTTCCATGAAGCCACTTTTCCTCATCTCCAACCCCAACCTACTCCAGCATTCTCACCCTCCTTTAATTTTATCATAACACATGAAGTAGTCTTGTTGTCTGTATTCATATATATATACATCCAATTTGTATTATAGTGATTTGCCAAGTCTTATCTCCTTTATCAGATTGAAAAACTCCTTGAGATCAGGTATTGTATCTTAGTCATCTTAGTAGCACCAATGCCCTCTATACATTTGGCACTTAATATTTGTTGGGTTGAATTGAATAAGAGAACCCAGTGTCGGTTTTTCTTTTTTTTTTTTTTTCAACCTGTCACCAGTCAATTAAGAACTAAACAAAACAAACTAGATTAGAGGCAGGAAGGGGTTCTGACTTGAGTGTCATAAGATTGTTGAATACTCTCTTTTTGGTGAAAGGATTTTCAGTATCTTAATGACTCCCTGATGGATTTAAGACCATGAGTAACTTAATATGTGTATAATAAATACTGAGTACTAAATATAAAAACTATGATAGCATTATTGTGCTAGCAATGCTCTCCATTACTTTATTTTGAAACATGGATTTTTTTTTGGAAACATGAAATTTTTAAATTTTTTTGAAACACTAAATTTTTAAATAATGCCACCCTTCCTTTCAATTCTCTTATTATCTTCTTAATGTCCTATTTGAATGACGTTATTTTGTTTTCCACTTTTGAGGATTCCAAATTGTATGACAAAGAAGCAGAGTGTAACTTGAACCATTACACTTTAAGGAGTTTTATCAGGCAGTATAGTCAATTTGGGGAGGTCCTGCAGTAGGCAATAGATAGATGGTTTCATTAGTCAGGTAAGTAGGAGGATTGTGACAGCAGGCATTAGGCAGGTGTCCAGGCAAACAAATAATTGACAATGGAAGGGTTAAATGGAAGATAGCAGGGACTTATCCAGGATATGATAGAAAGAATCCAATCTATAAAAGGACATGTAAGGGGGGGAGGGAGTGAAGTTTCATGATGAAACTTGACAGTACCTTGTTCCAAGAAAAATAAAAACAAAAAACTGATCCTGGGCAGGGAATCAAAATGAGTATTTTAGCATGTGGGAAATGGAATTATCGAACCTTATGTTAAGAGTTGGGGGCCACTGTTATGGGGAAACAAGCAAGAATCCAATTAACAGAACCAAGACATAAGGTCAGAACCTGAGTAGCAGCAAAGTTAAATTGATACTGGGTTCATGAGTTACTCACCTGGAGCTTCTGTCCTTCCTGTGTGCCTGGGGACAAGATAGGTCTCTAAGTCTAGAATGGACTGAAATGACAGATGGAGTTTAAGTGGTCCCAGCTGTGAAGATTAGAGGGCCAAAAGTATAGGGAGCCTTCCAAACCATTTCAATTTCAAGACAAAACTGTAAAGTTGTGATGTTTTAAATAGAATACAACTAAAATATTTGTATAGTTAAACATAAGTAATAAGAAATGGTTTTGACAATGACACAAGCATTGATACTGTTACACAAATGCATGTACATATTACCTCATTGCACTCAAATATCACTGTGGAAGGCAGATGGGTCATAGTGGAATGACACAAGAAAAAGATATTAAAGAAAATAATATGAGCATGGAAAAAAGCTGTAGTAAAGTGGAAGAGAAAATATGGGAGTAATTGTATACATACTGGGCAATAGAACATTCATTGAATCAAAAGGGTTTTGATATCAAGTTAATTTTATGTGAAGCTATGGCTAGTTCTTTTCTAGGACATGAAATACCATTTATATAATGAGTTCAGAAAGCAAATCATGATATCTTTTAATATGATGTTGGTCAAGTTTCCATCATACACATGAAAATTTTATCAGATTACTTACTATTAACCAAGTGAATAACCTCTACCAAGTTACAAGGTGATCGTGAATCTCTAATTACCTGAAATAAGAATGAAATTAATTGCCAAAATTTTATCCTGGCCTAAGAAATTAATAACAGCTCCTGTTTCACAGTAAGATCTGAACTGAATTACTCAGAAATATTGAGTCACTTCTTAGATAAAGATAAATCCTTGTTAGAATTAAAATATCAATTCACAATCCCCTGATCCTGTTTTAATAATTAAATGAGCCTTTGATGTAGGGAGTAAGTCAGCCTAGAGAAGGGGAATAGAAGGGAGGAAAAGCAGAGGGAGGGCAACAGGAGGTAGGAAATCAGAAAGGGAATATTTGGCAAGGAGACTACATTAATAATCATGATACTCAAAGTGTAACATTTTTAGCATCTTTTGATTTCTGAGAGAACAGATGACTAATGAAAAAGGCTGATACAAGTGCCTCATTCATGATCTATCATTTCATTGGGCCGGGCTAACTTTCCTCATAGGCCTCATTTCCTTTCTTTAGAAAACATCACAACTATAGAAATCAGGAAGTGGACAGCCTTTAACAATAGAAGCAGCCTTCTGTTGAAAGACAGAGGGAACTTTGTTAGTCAGGAAGGAAGGACAATTGCTAGAAAGGTTGTCGCAGGAGAAAGTGTTAATATGCAGCAAGTACAGATATCTATCCTCAAGGCATAGTATGATAATAGTAGCATCAAGCTTCCAAAATGATTTATTTACAATCAGGATGGTGTTCATTCCATTTTATAATTAGACTCCCGTTGAGGTTTCACACACACACACATACTTTGATTATTTGGGGATGAATTTATTCCAGCTTTTTTTCCCCCCTTTTTCAAAAGATTTACTTTGGTAGGTAAAAAGATATGTCTCCTTTTTCTCTAGAAGGCAGCAAGTTATAGTCTGTGCACATGGAAATCCCAAGGCCTCTCAAAAGTAACTTGTCAAATCAGAATTTATCAAGATGGAGAAGAGCATGAACTTTGAGATCAATCACGTCAAAATTGAGCATATATTAATACTCAAATAATATCACTCTGGTCTTATAAAATGAGTAATATCTGCTTCTGATTTAAGCAAAGCTTTTGATATTTGGTTGGTTTTAGAAACAGAATTATATTCCCTTAATTATTTCCCTGATGGATTAGCTTGGTACAGTCCAAAGTAGGTCAATGGTTACTCCCCCAAGCTGGGAACTGTTATTATGAGGTAATTAGCCCAGAACTTTCAGTTTGTCCTATCAATCAGGAGTAGTTCTGAGCCCTAGGGTGGATACTTGGTTCACTATAAGTAAGAGGAAAGCAAGCTGGTAGCAGAGGCTGATGACGGGGAGGAGTGGCTATGAAGCTGGCTGCCTGCCCAACACTTCCAGAGTGTCAGAGTAGATCAAGGAAGAGAGCACAGGTGTGGGAGCAGATGTGGCTGGGCCACTAATGACATAAAAGGACAATTAAAACAATTCTGCTTTGCTTCAGACTTTCATTTTGCAGCTTCTTGTGCCTATTTTAATTCTTCTTTGTTATTCTTTTCCAAACGCCACTCAGAATCCATTAGCAAAATCATATCATCCTCTACTGTTATTAATTTCTCAGTAGTACTTGGGTTTATTTTTAAAACATTAACAATCATCTTTCCAGTATTAGACTACAGTATTCTTATTTATGGCTGTTTTGGTAAATGAAAGGACTAGGCTTCTTGTAACCTAAAATAGTTTGGAAGGGAATGTGAGCATAGATTTTATTTTATTTTTTCTCTCAGCCCATTGATGGTCTATAACTTTTTCTTTAATATGATTTGGCATCTATTTTCATAAATACATCTTATAACAACTATTCAGTTTTAAGTCTTTAACATCTTGCTACCTTAATCTGTGAAACATTTTGCCCCTGCAGGGATGCTATGTGGTTGGCATTAGTCCCACCTTTAATGCATTTGGAGTTATGGAGTTCATGAATACCTGCAGTGGGGCAGTGACCATGCATACCCTTTGGCACTGAATTTGAGTGTACATACAAGGAACTGGGTCTTTTGTT